CACAAGTGCAGCAGATGGGTTTCTTCTACATCCATTTGCTGCTTAAGATTACCACAGAGGTATCAACCTCAGCCTCCTACCCCGGTATCATACGTACATCATCTCACACCACCTTGTGTCCTGAGTTTCACTAGCACTGGATGCCTGGATGAAACTCAGCCCCCAGCCAACGCCAGACCTGGCCCCGGGATAAATGCAGTGTCTCTCCAATTGTGCCGGCAGGGAGAGGGTCTCCAGGAGGGGCTGTGAGAACAGAGGCTCCTCACCAGCCCCCCCAAAAAACCTCTCTGCTGGGCCAGCCTGCAGCACTACCAAAGCCTTCTGGGGCTGGCTGGGACAATCGGGGCAGCGGAGTGCTGAGCCTTGCCATTTCTGCTGCGCTGGGAAATTCCCGGAGGAGCAGACGAGTGCTCGGCAGCGTGCTGATTCCTTTGATCGCGGAGCATAAAGGAACACAGCTCGCGTTCACTGCAGCTCTGCGCTCTCCCCAGTCGCCTTCAGATCCATATTGTGGCTCTCATGCTTTTCTTGTTCAAACGGGAAAACCTAACGATGCCCTTTCAGGCGCAGCTCGCAGGAGCTGCGGGTCTGTGCGCGGTGGGATCCTGCTGTCCCCTGCCGGGCATCCCCAGCGCGGCTGGCGCTGCCCCGCCTCTGGACGCTGCAGAGGGCATCGTTTCTGCTAGAGCAAGAGAAGGGGCAGCACATTTAAGAATTTCTCTTTAGCTCTGCCGGCTATGTGACTTCAGGCAGCCTCTGCCGTGTTTTTCCCTGGCTCAGGAGCGGAGGGAGGTCTGCCAAGCTCACCTCAGGATGCTGTCAGTACATTCAGACTGGTTTGGAAAGCAGTGAACCTCTGGAGATACAAGGCAGAGTGAAACTCTTGCTGACTGCAAGGAGACATTTGTACCCAGTGAACCCACAGCTGCAGTTCATTGGTGCTTCCAATCGACTGGGTCCATCTGCCATCATCCTGCTGTCATGACAGTCCATTTGCTCTCCGTGGCAGGTGACCTGGTGGAAGGACGGCACAGGGAGGTGGCACCTGGCACCACTGCAAAGGCTCTGGGCAGATGCTCTCCCTGGCTCCCTGTCCTCTAGTGGGCCAGGGAGAGCATTGGTGTCAGTCTGTCTTAGCTGGACACTCTGGTGGGATCACCTCAGCTGCTGCTGCTCAGAGAGGGGACCAAGGCTGCTGAGCAAGGATACCTGACACGGTGGTTATAGCTGAGGGCTTAGGAGAGAAGAAATACCAAAAGGTGAAATATCAGAAACAAATTTCTAGAACACTGTCTAAGGCAGTTTGGGAACTGTTTTTATACTTTGGCCAAGCTAAGTTAAGCATGTTCTTGTAGGTTTCTTCCAGAGTATGGTTTGTGGTACCCTTTGCCCCAGGACAGGATCTCCGCTATCTGCATCAATCTTGCAGCACCACCATTTTGCAGAGACAAACATGAGGTGGTGGGCTACATCCTTACTGGGGCAGCCATTCCAGATGCTACCTTGGTCACAGAAAAGTGGCCATGGTGATCATGCCACACAAAACTAACTTGAGCAAAGTGTGAGTAGGGAGAGATGAAGACAGAGACTAACACGACCATGAAGCCATAACCCTGAGATAAAATCCTCTCAAATCAGCCCATACATCATGGGAAGCAGACTGTAAATGTGAATCCTGGCTGGCAGCCAAAGTGCAAATGGTAGGCCCCTGTGCAAGAGTAGTGGTTTAATGTGCTGTGGGGAACACTGTTACGTGTCCCAGAACAGCGTGTGCTGGTGCATAGGTTTTGCAATGTTGGTTACAGGCTATTAAACCCTCTAAGTTCAGAAGTTGTCAGTCCTCTTCTGACTGCATAAACTCATTCCTAAACACTTCACTAAAACACACTTTCATTAAGATTATCATCTCCCCACTTGAACAGAGGCAGAAGGAGAAGGGACCCTTCTACCAAGAAAAATCAAGTTCATATGATGTTGCTTTTTTGCACTGGCCAAAAAAAATCCTAAATGAAGGGAAGAAGCTGCTAAATGGGTGTTGATAAAAATGAAATTTGAGGATACAAGCTCACTCCATGCTACCCTGATTGGCACTGGAGTGAGAGAAACACCTAGTACACCAGGAAGAGTGAGTGAAAGCCTTATGCTGCCCCAGACTAATGGTCTCCTCACATGGGGGACAAGGACCCTCAGGAAGTCTAATACAGGCCCACTCAGAGGATGGAGGCTGGGCTATAGCCAAAGAGCCAAAGGAACATGGGGACAAGATGGAAATTTTAAATTGTTAATATATTAACCTGCCTTTTCCAAATAGATTCTGTTCCTTCATGACCACTACCACTGGCACCCATACATTTACATTTATTTAAAACCCTGGGTCATGTTGCTTTCCAGAAAGGAAACATTGCTGTCAAGGACACTTAGACAAAGTCATGTACTTTCTGGGTGAGAGCTCAGTGAAGTTTAGTAAGAATGCCAGAGTAAGAGCCCAGCATGCTGCACTGCCCATGTTAGCTAAGGGCATTCCCACTTGAGGAGGAGGCAGCAGGTTGCTGCCTTGAGCAGTGCTGGACATTGCTGAAGCTTGGGTGGTCATAGCTCAGGGCTACACTGTTTTCTGCATCTCTTCAAGCCTAAGCTCATGGCTTTCTGAAAGATTCTTATGTCTTCTTTTCCTCTATTTGCTTTTAAAGTATTTTTCTACTTTTCACATTTGTAAAGAGATATCTTCACTTCAATATAGCAATGTTAAAAAAAGAAGAGGACAGCAAGGAAAAGAGGATCCAGATTGTTTGCACAACCTGAAAGAACCTTCACAACCTGTACATCCTGGGAATCCCTGAGATTTGCTCAATTGGTTAGAACGTGGTGCTAGTAACACTAAGGTTGTGGGCTCAATCCACATATAGGTCATTTACTTAAGAGTTGGACTCAGTGACCTTTGTGGATACCTTCCAACTCAGAATATTCTGTGAATCTGTATACCATAAACTCCAGGGCCTTTAAGCTGTTTTGGTGATTACTGGAGGCAGAGAGTGCTCCTGGAGCCTGCAGCAAAGCACCATTAGAGAGCATGGGGATCACCCAGGCAATGCCCAGCCATAGTAGGCAGGGCAGCAGGTACTCCTGCTGGGTTTTTCCTCAGCCTTTGTGTGGCCTTCCCTGTTGGCTGCCTCTGATTTCCACTCTTTTGGAAAGGAAGGCTCACCTCTGAGTCACCAGTTGTGGAAAAACAGACAGCTCCATCAAATACCCAAGGTGCTGCAAGAGGACAAGAGGAAATGGGAACACCCAAAGTGTGACAGTGCCACAAAGCAAAGACATGAGTTGGGTTTGCACCGTTCAGCATCGACCCTCAGGATGCTCTGGAAACCCTTTTCATGTGTGCCTTTCCATTTTTCACATGGAAAATGTGCACTCTTCCCAAACCTTGTCAGGATTGCCTGCTGCAAAATCTCTGCCACTCACAACCTTGTGAATGTTCAAAAAACCAGTATCAGCAGTTATTTACAGGAATCATGAATCCATTTCATAAGCTCAGGCATTTGGCTGCTGTAGAAAAATACCAGTTTGAAATACAGACTAAGAATCCTGGAAGAGAAGCTGTCACTTTGTCCTTGCCACAAGTCATCTCTACTTCCAGAACAAGTCAGTACAACACTTGCTGGCCAGGCTCTGCTTTGTGGTGCCAAGCAGGTGAGGAGGGATCACAGGGCGACAGGTTCAGCTGGTTGCTCCCTCCCTGCAGGGCTGTGTGTGAGTTGAGTGTGATTCACCCAGTCCCTTGCCCACAGCAGCTTCCCAGCCAGCACTGCAAGGGGCAGGGGCTGCAGTGACTGTCCAGCACAAGGTGAGCTCACTGACCTGTGAACCCACAGCCCTGCAGGCACCGCAGGTCTGTGCTGCCCACTGGGGCTGTGCTGTGCACACTGACCCTCCTGCTGGGACTGCCATGCAGGGCTGCCATGCTGCCACAGCGCCTCTTCCCAGAGTAGCAGCAGGCGGGGATCAATGGTGACCTCCAGCGAGATGTACCCTGCCCAAGCACAAAGGAGTGTGGGGCTGGGGTCCAGAACAGCCACTGCTTTCTTGTCGTGTCCTCCAGACATACATAGGGCCTCCCCTCTCCTGAGGCAGTGTGTCCTGCAGGGACAAGCCAACGACTCCCAGGCTGTCTACCAAATCCAAGGCAAAGAGGTCAGAGTACCCGTGCAGTTCATTCCATACATTATACTTGTGAGACCCTGGTGCTGCTCAAATGGCTGTGGTGGCTACAAAACAAAAACGCATTTCACTGGTATTCTGAAAGAAAGAAAATCAGATCTCCCTTGCTGTGCTGTCCTACATCTGTGGGACCACTCTGAATATGTTTGATCTTGTTCCTGTGGTTGCACATCAGCACAGACACTTCCCAAGCCATATTAGTTAGAACCTGGATGCTGAGCAGCAGCCGCAGCTGGAGGCTCAGCTGCAGGAGACAGCGGGCCTGGGGTGCCCCTCGTGACTTGCCAGAAACGTGCTGCTCTCTTGCCAGGAGCAAACATCGTCATCCTCACAAATGGTTAACCTGCCGGGAGCTGCACAGCACTAATGACTTCACATTCATTTAATCAGCTTGGGCTTCCAGAGCGTCCACCTCAGGAGCAGAGAAGGCCGTGCACCCATGCTCCCAAAGCCGCACCCCTGCCTTACCAATCATTAATCACCCGGCCGAGAAGGAGCAAGCAGCAAAGGGCCGGGTCTCCACAGCCCCCACAGGAGCAGCAGCAAGCGGCGCTGGCCGCTGCCCTGGGTGGCAGCTCGTTCTCTGACCACCCTCCCCTGGGAGGCCCTGTGGAGGTGGCCAGTCCTGCACGCACTGCCCTTTCCTTCAGGAAGGTCACTCAGACCAGGGAACAAGAGGCTTTGCCTGGTCCTGGGAGCTGCTGAGCTACGTGTGAGGTGGGGGCTCTGAAACCCCAGGAGTTTCTGCCTGGCTGTACCACAGCCTTCATCTCTTCGCCATGCAGCACAAGGCATTTTGGAATGCCCTGGAGTACACCTGCCGATTGCTGGGCATCTCCACCGCAGCAGGTAAGAGCAAATTCTCTCTGTTTTCGGTGCTAAAAGGCACCGAGTGGGTGCTAGTACCTCCAGGCTGCCTCCCTGCCTTTGGCCAGCTGCAGCCACAGCCCCATCTTATGAGGGGGGGACAAGAAAACTTGCTCACTTTACTTTGGGACCCGGGTGAGAGAGCAATGGTTGCCTGGCTAGGTTCTTTCCAAATGCTGTGGGAGGTACAGTGAGACATCAGAAAGGAAGGGCCAATATTCAGAGAGCAAGCTAAAGCACTCCAAAAGAAAAAAAAAAAAAAAAATAAGAAAGCTAAACTATAATTCTTCTAAAACAGACACAGGCATAGGCAAAATGTGAATGAGACTGAACAGCAAAATACTCATGGCTGTGCAAAACTGCTGGGCTACACGGTGGGATGTGAAGATGAAGGAGGAGCTCCTTGTAGTGTGCAGTGAGATGTCCTGCACCAGGCAGGATGGAGAGGTTCTGTCCCAGCCATCATGGCATAGTTACTATAAAAGCTCTGCTCTGCCTCTCTAGCAGCCTGTCAGGGAGCAGCTCAGAGCAGTTCAGGTTATAGCTGCAGTACAAACACCATCAATTCATCCACCTGGTACCTGGGGAGTTGCATCCTCTCACCTGCTGCTAGGGTGTTCTGGGTTTGGTGACACACCCAAGCGCTTGGTTTCAGATGAATTGCAGGTGTTTTGAGCCAGGTGTCAGATACAGTGTCTCACTCGGGAGCAGGGAGCACCGTTTCACAGGGAGCATCTCCGGATGGGACTTGGGGAATCAGCTAAAGCAGAGGGCTCAGGGGTTGACTCTGGCACTGCTGCTGACTAGCTGCTATGGGACAGGACAGGCAGCACTCTCTGCCTCAGTTTCCCCATCAGTAAAGCAGAGATCAAAGGGTCTGATTTGTTTAAAGGCTGGAGGGGTGAACCAGAGGTTCCTGGTGAGAGGTGACTTGAGGTGGTGCCTGTGGTTCCTGTTTCAGAACCCCAGGGATTTCAGTCAGACACTGCAGAGTAAGTCACAGCAGGCCCTCCTACCTTGGTATTTCCTTTATGAGCTGCAGACAGTCACAAAGAGGCACTTTGCTCAAGCCAAGGACAAAGTAGAAAGCACACAGGTCAGCTGAAGTGTGCACAGGTTCCCAAGGACACAGGTGGGGTGATGAAGGTTCTGGAATGTGCTTTAAAGGACTGATACTGATAACAGGCAGAGAGATCTGTGTCTCTGAGTTTATACAAACTCCCAGTAGATAAGTGCATGTTGTGATGATACTGCAAAACTGGGAGATGGGACAAAGTTTTAATCAGAAAATGCAGATCATTTCTTCATCCCCATCCCTTTAGGCCCTCATGAGCCTCATACTGGCCATAGTCTCATTTAAAACTCCAAGGAAACTCATAGAGACCTTCCTGGGAGAAAACATGAGCTTATTGCCATGAATAAACTAATGCTAAACCAACAAATTGAAAGTAGTTTACAATGTAGAAATGTGTTCATGGAATATCATATTTCTCTCCTGCATGTTTTCTTTTCATCGTTTTGCAGCATCTGCACATCTTTCTTTAATTTTTCTTTAAATGAGCACTGCAGTTATCTGTCTGCTTAGCATCACAGAGCATAGAGAGCTGCACTACAACTCAGTGTGCTTTTCCATAGGTCTGGTGCATTCCCAGTATCACCTGACTTTCCCAAAAGGCTCATGAACACTGCAATGTGCCTGTGTTTTATTCCTCTGTGTATTTCAATGGAGTAAGAAATCAGCTTGATGCAGCATTTAGTGCCTGATGAGGTGTGTGAGGCTTTTGAATGAAATCGAAACCATGCAGAAGAAATTCCCATGGGTTTTGTTTGAAAAAACCCTATGAAATGGAGAGTGCATCAGCCTCACTAATTGATTTTGAGAAGGCCTGGCCAGCTACTTATGCTGCTAGTAAATACAAGTTACCCACATAATATAAACCTTCCCTTCCCCCAGATCCTGGAGTGTAATGGCTCTCTGCAATGGTGAGGCTACAGGGCTTCTTTGTATCAGAAAATGGCTAACTGGTCTTATGACAAGTTAGCAGAGTCATCAAACAGCCCTGTGATTTGCTGCAGTGTTTGCAGCATCTCTAGTTCAGTGATTCTAGGCCTTGTGATTTTTGCATCTAGGAAAGAGTTCCTACTTATTTCTTAATTCTCATGCTTTCAACCATTTAATTCCTAATCATGTGCCTTTAGCCACATGGTTTGGATAAGATCCAAATCAAGGCAGTGACTAGTCCAAACAAACACCTCGAAACAGCTTTTTTCTTCTTGCAGATTCTTCATACAAACAGCTTTGTGGATAAAGCAGAAGCTGTGCAAAGGAAAAAGTCTCCCCATCCAGAGCAGAGGCTTGAGCTGACAGCCAAGCTGTAGAATTCTGCATTCATCCACAGGGACTGAATGAATGAATGAATGAATGGGAATTAATGAAGTCCACATTGTAGGAAAGATTATAAAGAATGATCCTTAGTCACAAGATAGTAAAAGACAGTACTTTGCATGTAGGATTACACAGCTCTTGTGGCTTCACAGCCCTCTGATGAGACTGATTTCCCTGTGCTCTGCTCAGGGCTGTAAAAACAGTGTGGAAGGGTGGCACATGGGCCCTAAAAGTTCCCTTGGCTGACAGGGGCCAGCATCTGCAGGAGACACAGGGAAAACACAGAGGGATTTCTTTCAGCCCACATGGAAATCCCACCTTGGCATTGACCTAAGCTGCAGTCTCGATGGACACTCGATGGCCTTGTTTGGGAGGCCACTACCTTTCTCCAGATGGGGCAAACCACAGCTCCGAGAAATGGATCCAACCTGCACCTCAAACCTTGGCCAGTATGCATGGGACAGGACCAGTGGTGAACTCCTGAGCACCAGTGGATGGGTGGGGTCTGCTTTTATGTGGGGTGGAGGCATCAGGTTCAGACAGGAGCTTGGCCAAGGCGGTGCTCTGGCTATGAAACCTGGGCACACTGCATGTACTGACCAACTTGCTACAGCTGATGTGAGGCATTACATTTCTGCTCCCTTTCAAAAATAATCTTGAAGGGAACTGAAGGATGTTTAAGAAAATTTTCCATCCCCTGAAGCTATTGGCCAATCCATCACAGATTTTAGCCTTGCTAATACTCTTAATCCCCCTAAAACTGACTCCCTGGTGTTCTGTATTAGCTGAGGCACTGAGAGAGCGTTCATTCCCTGTTTTTAATCTGCCTGCTCCCATTATATGTTTTTCTGTTTGGCTAGCAAAGGCTCCTGATGCTATGGCTACAGCCCTTCGTGAAGGCAGCTGGCACAGTTCCCTGCTCTGCAGCCACGTGTTGGTGCAGCAGGACTGGGCAAGCAGGGAGGGCAAGGGAGTGGGGCTGGCAGGCACTGGGGGGACCTGGGCAGAGAAGGATGGGGCAGTGGGCCCTGTGGCAGCTGAGATGTGGCAGTATGGCAGAGAGTGGAACGGTCACAGGACACCGCTGCTCACCTCCCCCAGCTGTCCAAGGCCAGCTGATATTCCCAGAGCACCTTTCCCCAGCCCACACAGTGGTAAGGCTGCCATAATAGGGGCGCAGCTGGGATGAGTTTCAGGACTCTATGTCACTGAGCTCTGACTCTTCTGGGTGGGTGTGTCAGCATGAATCACTAGTGCTGGCAGTCCTAACATGCTGCCCTGCATGGAAGAAGCTGCCTTGCTAGCCCCTGGGGAAATGGGGACATTTATCCTGGGAACTAACTGGGAACTAACCCAAGGGAACTGGGAATGAACCCTGGGAACTAACCCAAGGGAACTGGGAATGAACCCTGCAGTCAGCATCTTTCCTACCTTCTCTTTCTAGTGCTGATCGGTGTGGGCATAGAAACTCTGCAGCGAGGACAATTTAAAAGCCTGGCTTTCTATCTGCTGTGAGTATTTCTGCCCTTGAAATCAGAGCTGGCAGGGGTGACAAGGTCAACCCCTCCACCGTATGTAGCACCAGACTAAACTTCAACAGCATCAGGGAACAGTGTCCAAGGCTTTGGATATTTCAGATCTCCATACTGAGTTTTCAAAAAAACAAGCTATTTCTGTTAGGAAAAGAAATGCTACTGCAGACTCAAGCAGACCAGAGGCACCACTGGCTGCAAGTTGATTTCCTAGGGGCAGAAGGGCTGTGAGTTTTCCACAAACCAGCTGAGCAGAGGGTGTTCAGACCCCAGCATACAGACTGTGTTGAGAATTGGATAGTAAATTCTGGCCTGATGTGCCCTTTCTGCCCACCTGCAGACCATACTCAAACACAGCTCTGCTCCCCTGACAGCTCCACCTTTCAGTTTTTCAGGGGTTGCAGTTTCTGTCTGCGAAGGCTTCTTCTTTATCAGTTTGTTCCTGGAGATGTGCTTCACGTGAGTAGACCCTGCCCACTACTCTCCAGCCACGGTGGGACCTCCCAAAGGCACCTTGCCCCTTACAGGCAACACCAGATCTGGGGGAGCTGCAAGTGCCAGAACAAAGGTCCTTCCCCTAATGCCAAGGCAAGTGCACCCAGATGGGGGGAGGTGCACAGCTGTTTAAACCTGTGTTTTAACCCAGGCTTGTGCCCTAATCTCCTGAGCATCAGCACAAGCCCTGGTCTTCAGCATCTGCTTAGCACAGTGTGCAGGCACAAGGTACCAGGGTTAGAGGAAGAGTCAGATCCCTAGGGTGAGTTTCAGCTCCCTTCAGAGACAGCATGGAAGTTAAAAGTTAAAATGTCAACAATCCTTATGTCCTTTTCAGAGGCTGAGCACTGCTGCTGTCTTCTAGCAGAAACTCAAAAGTCCTCACAGCTTAGAGGCAACACCTTACTCCTAACGTAGACGATTAGTGAGGTGCTGAGATACTGGCCTCTGGCAAATGCTCTTCTCCCAACAGGAGATGTTCAGGCTTTGCTTATATTCCCTGAAAAGCACACCCATCTCCTGACAAACCACAGTGAGGATCTGCACATTTAGAAGAGTCATGGTTAGGACCAAGTCTGTTTGGCATAGGGTTGGTGCCTCCTGCTACAAGGACCTCTCTTTCTCTCCCCAGTCACAAGCCTGAATTCCTGGCACAGGCCTTCTGGAAGAGAGCTAGATGCCCAGGGAGCTTCCAGAAATTCCTGGGGTACACGCTGCTCTCAGTGGCTTGCTTCCTGCACCCCGTCCTCGTCTGGCATGTCACCATCCCTGGTGAGAAGCTTGGGTGGGGAGTAGTGCCAATGGAAGAGGAGCATGGTCCATCAAGGGGTGGGGGTGGGGATGTGCAGGGAGCTGGGCTGGTGGCCTGTGGCACTGGGCTAGCCAGACCAAGCACTGCTTGGCAAGGCGTTCCCACTTGCCAGAGCTCTCAGCCAACATAGTCTTGTCCCCAGGCTCCATGCTGGTGCTCACTGCCCTGGCCTACTTCCTGCTGAGCAAGAGGAGGAAGAGCCCAGGGCACAAAGACATGCATCCCCAGGCAGGTCAGTACGTGGACCCTTCAACCACCGAGGCAGCCCCAACCATCATTGGTGACACTGAGCAGACCTACACATTCCACGGGGCCCAGAGGGAGCAGCACTGCTCGCTTCTGGGCCATATGAAGAGCATCCTGAAGGGCAGCAAGGACAGCAGCTCAGCCCCAGAAGCTCCTGTCCAACCAGCAGCCATGCCAGCCCCTCGCAAGCAAGTGCACTTTCAGGAGAAGGTGGTGCAGATTATCCCCTCCGTCAGCGAGGACTTGGAGGACGTGAAGAGTGAGGCTGAGGAGACCACATCGGACACAACACCCATCCTCACCTCCCCTGACACCCCCATCATCATCACCCCTCTCAGCTCCACCGGCCTCTTTTGAGCCCTCAGCAGGAATGAGGACAGGACAGACATGCTCCCTATAACAGATGCTCCAGCAGCCAAAGGGTCCCAGGAGGTGGCCCTTTTTTCCTTCCTGGTACAAAACTGGCACCCTTTTCGGGGTGACAACTGTGCCACCCCCTCTTCAAGGGGCACCCTTTTCGGGGTGACAACTGTGCCACCCCCTCTTCAAGGGGCTGCCTGCACTCCCTGGTCCCCTGCACTGCGGCAGGCCCAGGGGACGGTGCTGGTTCAGCCGGGGTAGTGCCAGCACAGGTTTCTGCTCCCGCGGCCTCACCCGTGTCACCCCGTTCAGCACCACACACAGTGCCATGCTCCTCCTGACACCACAGCCAGGAACGGACCTCCCTTCTGGCTGACACAGGCAGGAGGAGGGGAGACCTCCACATCCCAGAGCAGCCTCTGCTGGGGCACTTGTGTCCCTCTGGCCCTCAGTGCACACGGCCGAGCTCAGGGCTGCATTCAGCACAGGCACTGCAGCCTGCAGGCTCCCCCTCAGCTCTGCACCCACTGCAGCAGCCTGAGACATGCACAACATGTTTCTGAGGTGGGCTGAGACCAAGCACACCCCTGGCATTAGCATCTGCTTAGTACCTCCCCAGGCACTCTGAGCCCAGCAGGGAAATCATCTCTGGCCTTGGGGACACCTAAGCAGGAGCAGAAGCCTTCCAGGTGTCCCCTGCTTGGACAGCCCCCGTGAATTAGAAGAACTTTTGGGTGATATGGCAGCCCAGGTCTTGTGGTTCAGCACCACACTGGCACAGCAGACTGTGTGCAACTCCAATGTGTGTAATTATGGTCCCCAGAGGGCAAAGGCGATAATAAAATCACCAGAGTGTCCCACCAGTTTCTTCCATGCCAGGTCTTTCCTGAACCCCTTAACTCTGGCTTAATCCTGGCATAATTTCTGGCCTTTTGAGGACCAGTCAGTCATAATCAAGCATTTCCCTCCTATGCAGCTCCCACCTGAGGACATGTGGGAAGACCTTAAGTGGCTGGGTTCCCTTGGACAGGGGATAAGAAGCCACACCGTCACTGCTGCTGGGATGAAAAGATATAAATGCTCTGAGACCAGGCACATAGTACTGGGGGGAAGTGATGGTAATTAGAGAAAGTTCCTGGGACCTGCTAGACTATTTACAAGGTAGAAGCCAGTTAGCTGGCTGTTTCTCTTGTAAATACAGTGTTTCATCTATTTAAGATCTCAGCTCTCCAAAAGGCAATCACTGTGTTCATTTAGGAAAGCAGTATAGGTCAAAGTGTAATCAGAAGGCAATTGAGATAAGAAACCAGTGCTACTTTTTAATAAACTCTTTTTAAGTAACTTCTAATTTGTGATATGGATGAGGAAGAAGATGAAAGATATTGACTCACAATATATGACTGCCTGTTTTTAATAATGAAACTGTTGACAAGAGCAGTTTATGAAGGGTTACACACACTTGTCAGTCCTACGAGACACAGACAAAAACCTTTTTGTTGCAACACCAACATTTAAAATAGTAGCTGGTGTCAATCTGCTCTAAACATGATACATGGATTAGAGACCTTCTGTTTCTGGCTGGAGAAATTCTTCCACCCTGTCATGGTGTGCCGGGGAAGAGTCATGTACACATGTGCCTTTAGGGTGGATTTGCACCTGTAAAAATATCTTCAGAAAATTGTGCCCAGTTAACACTGCAAAACTGATAGCAGCAAGCCCAAGATCCACCCACAGCTTCACCCTCCACCTGGTGCATTCATCAGATTAGGAGACAAAAAATAAGGCTATTTTCCTCTAAAGCTGGTGGCAGACAAACCTGCACCAACAAAGATCCCAACCCAGCCATGCTAAGGGGATGCCCACCCCAGCCTACTCTGCTCAGAAAGGCAGAGCTGACTCCCCAGCTTCACCACACATCTGCTCTGCAATTAAAGCCACTTTAATTAGCAAAGTCAGCTTTCTGCATCATCAAAGGCTCTTCTTTGAACATTGACTAATTAATTGCACATAGAGATAAACTTCATTGAAAAGGTAATGCTCCCAATATATGGAGCAATCTGCTGACAAAAGAAAGACTGTATTGCTGTAGACTTTTCCCCTTAGCAAAGCTCCTGGCCAGCCTGGGTGGGAACAGATGCTCTGCCACAGATTTCATTCTTCAGCCCTTACTCAATCAGCCAGCCCCATGATTTGTACCTGTGGGGCAGCACAAGGGGTGAAGCAATGTTCTGACAGCACCTTTGGCACTTGGAAGTTTGTAGGGAGAAATTTCTTTTTTCTGTGAAGTGTTTAAAATGTGTTTGCAATTTTTAGAGTCTACACAATTAGGTTTCCAGTTTTAGGCTTATATTTTAAAATTCTATTGTAGGTCTCCCTTCAGAACCAAGAATGAAGGAAGCTACAGGTGGAATGTATTTTCAGGCTTCATGGAGTCAGCATTGGATCTCGTTGCTTTTCTTGTATGCTTCCTTGTGTTGGCCTGGTTCTTCTCCATCCCCACAGCTAGTTGGCTCAGGAGATAAAGGCCAGGGAAAAAAAAAAATCTTCTTGTCTTTCCTGTGGTATTAAGTTGCCTGTTCGGTTAAGGTCCATGGCTGACTCACCCTGGAGTCTGCCAAGAGTTTGCATCCATGCTGGGGAAGTGGCTGCTCCTTCAGAGGCAGACAAGCTGCACCTCAAACAGCACCTGGGCTGCTTCCCAGGTTCTCCCTGCCAAGGAGTCCATTTGTACATTCCTTTCTCTGCTCCTCACCACCCATCTCACCCCTGGTGCCATCTTCCAGCTCCATCAGTGTACAGACCTGTTAGCCCAGAGAAACAATAATTAGGAAAAAGAAAGCAGGTGGCTATCTTCTTGGGTAATGAGCCAAATAAGTTCGGGGAGGGCAGCCACAAATTAAGGGGATGGGGGATAAAAGAATCTCTTTCAGAGTCAGCAGGCTGTTAGAGCAGCTCAACTGCTTAAAGAAACAAAGCCTCGGGCTTTCTTTAAAACCCAGTGCAGAGGAAATGTTCAGCCTCAGGGGGTGTCAGATGACTTTGCAGAGGCCTCAGAGATTATTCACTCAAGTGTGCACTTCTCTGTTGGCCCCACTCCCTACATCTTGTTGTGAGAGCCATCCCAAGGGCTACTGAAAGCACCAGAGCACCAGGGCTCTGGGGGGTCTGTGTGAGAAAAGCTCTCATGTATGCATGGTAATTGCAGGGAATGAAAAAGAGGGAGAACTTGATTCTATTAACTTTGCAGTGCACAGTATCTGAATATGAGCTGCCTGAACTGTAAGTCCACAACCACTACATGAACTCTATATAATTTTTGCCTGCATTGCAAAAATTTGTTACTCAACTGGTCCATTGAGATTAATCCACTGAGTTAGAGTGCATAAAGCTATAAACTCCTGTGGATTCACATACTGAAAGGAAATGAGATGAATAATCCAAAAGAAATACATATGTAAGGTAAAACTCTGTGAGGTAATCCTGGCAGAAATTGTTTCCTTCAAAATTTCCACCAAAGATTCCCCTGCACCAGGAAAAATCTGCCAGCTTTACATGTGAAGTGGAAACACTCTACAATGCTACTTGACAGCCCCCCTCAAAACATAGTGAATTGGTATATTGCAAGCAGTTATTCTGTTTTATGTTTCTATGCAGGAAAACCAGATTTTGGTGCAAGCTTCACACACAATTCCTCTATTCTTCCAATGCTTAAGCAGTTGTTGCAGAGCCCTGAAGACAGGCACACTGCCTGCCCCATTACAGTGCTTGTACCTCACAGCAGGGATTCAGATGGTCACCCTCCTCATTCCCTAAATCCCCACTGGGATTCTGGTCCCCCATTTCTCTGAGCACTGCTCCATATTTGAAATATGGAAATTAATGTTTTACTCAAACAACAGCAATGTTAGGAAAATAAGGCACACTTGGAGAGAAAAGTGTTCAGTTTCTGCAGTGTCAGTTATTAAAACCAAAAATGCCCTGCTTGAGCCTGTAACTGCAACACTTGCATCAGCAAACACCAGTATCAGCATCAGTGGCATTAGTGGCTTCTAATTCCACATTGAGTCATATCCACATGCAGGAGACCTGTCTCCACTTGATTCCAAATCCTGTATACTATACTAACACACCTGCAACCCTACCACTCTTCAGCCCTGCACCTTCTCCTGTCCCAGTCAGGAGATTCTCCCATGTGCTGGGACAGAAATGCAGTTTGTTTTGGCTGGCCTCCTGCATTTTGTGCTGTGAGGGGAGTTACAGACACCGAAACTAGATCCCAAACCTGCCTGGATTGCCTGGAGCTGGCAGCTCCCTTGTCTGCTTGCCACGATGCAAAACCACGAATATGACTTCCACCCACCATATATCAGCTGACATACCACTAGTGAAATGACTGCATTGGTTATATTCTAATGAATGTTTGAGGTACCTCTTGGATTCTAATTCTAGGCAATTATTCAGTCAGCATGTGACTTTATTGAACCTTGTTTTGAGGCTCTAGGCAAACACCAAGAACCAACCCAGGTCTTTGGCTCACAGACTAAAAAAAAAAAACAAATATCAGACATAAAAAAAAAAAAAAAAAAGAAAAAAAAAAAAAAAAAAAAAAAAAAAAAAAAAAAAGTAAATAAAAGGAAAGGGAAAAAAAAAAAGGAAGAGTAATATTTATTGGGAGCTCCTCCTCATCACATCCTGAACTTCCTACAGCTCAGAAGGAAGGTGAATATCATCTTAACACTAATCCCTATCCCACTCTCATCTCTTCTTTCTGCCCAGCCACTTCTTCACCCCAAACATTTCCCCTTCAGAGCACTATTTAAAAGGAAATACTGTCTTGATCAAGTCATGCTAAATAAAGTTACATGCACTGTGACATGATTGCACAGTTCCTTCCTGCCCCTTTCTCTCCAAAACCCCTCTGTAAGAGTAGCTGGTTTTGGTACTCACCAGATGCCCAACCTTGCTTGTCAGCCCCCAGCCCCTGCTGGCACCCAGCTCCCCGC